CAAAGATGCACAATTTCGATATGGTATTCTGTACGTAGAAAAAATAGTGTATTTTAATTTAATATAAGTTTCATTAAAATTTATTCACACTTTTAGTATAAAAAATATTTACCAAAACTATATATATATATATACATACTAGTTTTCTGTTTTCTATAAGAGTATATAAATGAAATAAACAAATGAAGATAAATAGAGAAAATATGTGAGTTGTTTTGAAGCAGCATGAAGTTTGCCAACTTAATACCGATGCGCATCGCGTGCGCTGCGCATTGTGTGCACACGTTGCGCATCTTAGGTTAGGCCATATCACAAAACATTCCGTGCGCGTTTCTCGAAACGACACAACCATTCCTCAACGTCGAAATACACGATCCACCCACACTCTAGTCAGTGTTACGAATTTCAAGCGAACCGTACCTTCCCATCTCCACCCCTCATCCCTTCCTTCCCCCCCCACCCCTCACCCCTTGTTTCCCCTGTTCCTCCTGTTCATGACTATCCAGTTAGGGCACGAGCCTAAAGTAGAAACTCAACTGAAGCTAACGTATCGTACGTGGAATCTCGAGTAATGACCGAAACCGCTCGTGCCATAGCAAATTTAACATAGCACTACTACTCTAACATATCTAACATCTTTCTTCTTCTCTGTGTAGGTTAGGTGTATATACGTGTGTGTATGTGTGTTTGGTAGGGTGGTAAGGTTCTATCTCTATTTTTTATCTTTGTATTTATCATGAAACACAAGTTAGAGACAAAAAAAATAAGGGAGTATTTTAAACGATTCCACCATAATATCTAACCAAAGTTATTCCGTTTAAATTTTATCTTACATTTTATTTTCACTTTTTTTATTTATTTATTTGATTTGATTTATGTAATATTGTTCTTTATTTTTCTTTATTTCTGCATATGTTTTTGTAGGTAGGGATGTGTGTCTGTGTGTGTGTGTTTGTGTGTGTGGTTTTATCTGTATCTTGAGCTTTCTATTTCTCACGAAACAAGATAGAGAAAAACGAGTCCTTTTCAGGTTTAAACGATTACCCCAAGTCTTAACCGAAGTACTCTAGTTTTTCATTCTATCTTTTTATTCTGATTTTTGTTGTTAAATATATTAATCATTTTGTAATATAAATTATTATAGAATATAATATCACACACATATACACTCTTGTCAAAATTTATATATACATTTATATCGATACAAAATACGTATATTGATATTTTATTCGTTATTGATAATTCATTCGAATTATCGACAGTTTTATCGTTAATCGATATAATACTTACCATTTGTATTACATACTTGTAATTCTTTTTTTTTTAATTTTTATTCTATACGAATACAAATACGATGATATATATCTAGATTTTATTATCTCGTTTCTTTTTATAAAATAACGGATAATAAAATGTTTTATTATCGATAGGTTATTTAAAATATAAATTTACCGATTGTATAATATTATCTTGAAAACTTTTTAAAGTTTATACACACACATATATATATTTTATTTCTATTTTATATTATTTATCTATCTACTTATCTGTCTGTCTGTCCGTTTATTTTACATACCCTTTTACTCGTTTAGTTGCGACAAGTTCATGACTCTTCCTATCGTTTACTCGTATGACGTTAAATGCATTTACTATGATATGATAAAACAAACCCCTGTGCAAGACGTTTCCCATTACGAACGAGTACATACATATATACATATATACATACATACATAAGTGTACTTTCGTCTTTTAACATTGAATCTCAATGTAATCATCAAATCTTTTGATTATCCAAAAGTATTACAGGAAGATTAGAAAAATTCATTGAAGTATTAACAAAAGTAAATTAAAATCATAATCAAAGTATCTAATAATATAAATAGGAAAATATCGCGTTTCAAAAAATCATTTTTCATGATATTCGATAAATCGATTAATAATAATATTGATATATTAATTAAGTATTAATTATTGTCACCGAATGAAACATCGACAAATTATTGAAAATATATTTTGACCGAGTTAAATTTATCAATATAATTAATGTATAAAATAAAAAATATTACTTCTACTTTATTTCTTGTTATTATTTGTTAACAAAAAATTGGAATAATATGAA